GGCACACATCCCTTATCCCACATTTAAAGGGAATGGACTTGCCTGGTCCTTTGTAGTGAATTCAAGTCAATGTAGAAACTCCACTCCCATCTGAATGACTTGGCTTGAAATCCGGATGTAGAGAAGCATGAAGCTTCAGTGACACAGCATCTGTTCATCACCACCTGGCAACTGGGCTTTGGTTTCTGCTAAAAGTCATGTGGTAGGGCCAGTACATCCTCAGGAGTCTGGGGCGTAGCAGTGCCAAGTGAGACAGAAACCAAATAAAGCCGTGGCTGTGGCTGCTTTTATTTACTGTGAACACAGGACTTAACCAGAGATATCACATTTGGCTAAAGGACAATTAACCTGAGTGTTATGCTGAGCCCAGTGGAGACATCCCAGACCTGGCTGCATGTCTCTAAGTACTAGAATGCAGTGGACCGAGTGAGAAAAATGGTGTGCACGCAAGAAGCACTCAGGAAATGGTAACTGTGGTGATTATCACTTAATGGGTAATATTGACCCAAAGAGAAATCTGATGCATTGTAGGATGCAGTTACATTAGAGTAACTAAGAAAGATATAAAATATGCATGGTGAGGAGGTTGGCTAACATACAATTACAATTTTGTGTGCGAGTATAGAGAGTGGAAGGAAAGAGCTGAGGTTGGAGAGGATTTAGCATTCCTCTAAGTGTGGAGGAAAACCACTAGGGTGAGGGGACAACGGTGTTAGCAGGGGGAGTGACCACATGCATGTTTTGGAGAGCTCTCTCTGTAAGTCTGAGACTAGATGGTGGGAGGAAGGGTGGAAACGGAGAGACAGAGATGATGTCACTACTGCAGGTGAGAAACCGTGGTGGTTTGGACCTCAGTGCTTGTGGCAGAAGTGAAGAGAGGTCAGATTTCAGATGTATGTATCTATATGCATTTGTGTGTGTGCTAAGTTGCTTCAGTCGTGTCTGACTCTTTGTGACCCCATGGACTGTAGCCTCCCAGGCGCCTCTGTCCATGGGATTGTCCAGGCAAGAATACTGGAGTGGGTTGCCATGCCTTGCTCCAGGGTGTATTTCTGACCCAGGGATTGAACCCAAGTCTCTTATGTCTGCTGCTTTGGCAGGCAGTTCTTTACCACTAGCACTACCTGGGAAGCCCATATCTCTCCATATAGAGATATATGTATTGGTTGTGTCCTGTGGCTTGTGGGATCTTAGTTCCCTAACCAGGATTAAACTTGGGGCCCCTACAGTGCAAGTGTGGAGTACTCATCACTAGATTACCAGGGAAATCCCTTGTATATACACTTTGAAGGTAGAACCAACAGGACTAACAGATGTATTTTAGGTGGGACTTGAGAGAAACAGGGGAGGCAAAGATGTCTCTTGAACAACAGAAATGATGGAGTTGCCATTTCCTGAGTAAGAGACAACTGCAGGAAGGACAGGTTTAGGGGCAAGTGAGGGGATCAGTAGTTTCTGGCCAAGTCTGAGAGGTCTGTTAGACACCCTATTTGAGACTTAACTAGGCAACTGGAAATTTGAGTCCAAAGGCTAGGATTGAAGTTGAGGCTGGAGAATTGCATTTTAAAGTCCTGATTGTGTTGTTTGTTGTTTAGTGATTAAGTCATGTCCAAATCTTTTGTGACCCTATGGACTGTCACTCACCAGGCTCCTCTGTCCATGGGATTTCCAAGAGAATAGTGAGTGGGTTGCCATCTTCTTCTCCAGGGGATCTTCCTGGAGATTGAACCCAGGGATTGAACCCACATCTCCTGAATTGCAGGTGGATTCTTTACCATTGAGCCACCAGCTGAGATTGAAAGCCATGGTGCTGGATGGGGTCACAGGGTGGGGATATGTGTAAGTAGACAAAGGAAGAGATTCAAGAACAGGATCCTAGGTTAGTGAGAAGGAGCAGCCCACAAGGAAGGGGGAAACAAGATGTGGTGTCTAGGAATCAAAGTGGAAAAAAAGCCCCATAAGGGTGGATAGGGTCTGTGCAGTGAGGATGATCTCTGCATTGGCATCATGGGGTCCCAGAGATGTTGACAAGACCATTCCAGTCCCTTGCCAGGGATGACAGCCTGGTTGAAGAATAGAGTAACTTGACTCCAAGGTTCCATGAGAAGACTCATGACACAATTTGCTTGCTGTGTAAAGGAATCTGAATTTCACCTTGAGGGCAATAACGTTGTAGGAATAAGAGTGACATGGTCAGATTTGTGTTATAGAAAGATCACCCTGACTGTACTGTGGGACAGGAGAGGTGAACTTGAAAACAGCTGGTGAGTGATGGTGGCCAGGACAGCCGCAGTGGAGGTGGAGACTGTAAACTGATTTGAAAGAAATGGAGGAAATGGAACCCATACTGCTTGAGGATGGGCTGGAGGTGGGAGGTAGGAGAAAAGGAGGTGGTTTCAGGTCCTGACTCTGCCACTGGGTTGCTCTGTGACCTTGAGCAAGTCTCAACATCCCAGTGCCTCAGTTTCCTCATCTGTAAAATGAGGTGAACAGTAGTATCTACTCCTGAAGGGTGTTCTAGGATTGAATGAGATGACGTGTATCAAATGCTTAGCATAAGGCCTCACCTGTGGTAGCTATTGAGAACCATCAACAGAATCTTTGAAGATTTTAAATGTGCTTAACCCCTACTAGGTGTTCTTTTTCCAGGGGCTATCTTCCCTTCTTCAGCAAAAATGAACTGTTGTTGTTCAGTTGCTGTCATGTCTGGCTCTTTGCAGCCTCATGGACTGCAGCACTCCAAGTTTCCCTGCTCTTCACTATCTCCCAGAGTTTGCTCAGACTCTTGTCCATTGGTTGGTGATGCCATCCAACCATCTTATCCTCTGTCGTCCCCTTCTCCTCCTGCTTTCAATCTTTCCCAGCATCAGGTTCTTTTCCAATGTGTTGGCTCTTCACATCAGGTGGCTAAAGTATTGGAACTTCAGCTTCAGCATCAATCCTTCCAATGAATATTCAGGGTTGATTTCCTTGACTGGCTAGGATTGACTGGTTTGATCTGCCTGCTGTCCAAGGGACTCTTAAGAGTCTTCACCAGCACCACAGTTGGAAAACATCAGTTCTTTGGTTCCCAGCCTTCTTTACAGCTTAACTCTCACATCCTTACATGACTGCTGGAAAAACCATAACTTTGACTACATGGACTTGTTTCAGCACAATGATGTCTCTGCTTTTTAATACACTGTCTAGATTTGTCATAGCTTTTCTTCCAAGGAGGAAGAACTGAGGAAGGCAGAATTAACCACTGGTAAGAATACACAGCTCAGATAACTCATTTTCTCCAGGAAAAAGACATGATTCATTTTTATGACTAGATGTCATAGAAACTATACATTATTATTTCACATAATTTCATTAGTGAGATTCAGCTATCAGGAAACACTTTGGCTAAAAGGATTCACTCAGAAAGAGGTGGGTATGATTGGCATCCTTGTGATTGACATGCAGTGACTATTAGGTTTAATGGGACAACAATTTTACATGCAGATTGATTTGCATATATCATGCCTTCAATTTGCCCACAAATAAGGCACTTAGACATACAATTACCCAATTAGTGGATGTCATTTCCTAATTGCAGGGGCCAACGTGATAATTGAGCCCTCAAATGTCTAAGCATTCGCAATTTGCTTCCTTTTAGGAAAGGTGGCACTTTGGAGTTTCCTGGTAGAGGTGAAACCATCTGACAGCTAAGGAGTCCTTTTCTAACTATATGATGATGTCATTTCAGTACAGGCTGAGCGTGGAAGTTAAGAAATTGAAGGAGCTATTCAATCTGAAGTTTCCATGTGGAGATTGTCAATATCTTACTGGACATCATATTGGAATTCCTTGTTCTGGGATGTAGATACTGATGTCTTGGCCTACTTTGGAAATCATCTTTTCCTTCATGGGTTAATATTCCTTCCCTCTGGCTTGTGTGTCTCCATTGATTGGCATGCTCTGGCCTCAATGGTAGGGGTATTCTCTTTGTCCATCCTGCATGCCCTTTGTATCACTCCACTGCTTCTGGCATTCAGTTAGACCTAGGGAGCTTTCTATTTTTGTCTATCATAAAAGGATTTTCTTGGTAGCATCAGGATGTAACACAGAACTTGGAATTTTGAATCTGACCCACTTGCCAGTTTGGTGGGAGGTCACTGGAGATTCTTATGGAGCTGCATGCTAAAAGAACTAACCTACATTCCTTCCTTCCTTCCTTCCATTACCAAATCAAATGGGTATGCTCAGTGTACTCAGTAAAAGCCAATCTACTGACACCAGGTTGTCAGGAAGGTAAATGCAGCATTTATTTCAAGGCAGGAGTCCAGGACAGCTAATACTCAAAAAGCCCAAACTCCTCGATGGGTTTCAGCAAAGCATTTTTAAAGGCCAGGTGAGGGAGGGGCATCCAAGGGTCTTTGATCAGTTTGTGCACCATTCTCTGATTGGTTGATGGTGAGGTCACAGGATGGTGCCAATGATCAATCTTCAGTAGGCCTGGGGGCTATATGTTCATGGCCATCAAATAGTTAGCATCTCCCATTTGGTGAGGGCTTTTTAGCTTCAGTAAAACAATTCAGGAAATGTGCACAAGATTCTGTTATATCTAGGAACTCCAGAGAAGAGCTAAAGCACAGGATATGGGAAGTTCTGCCCTAGAAAGACCCCTATGGGGGCCTACTCAATTACCCTTCCTTCTTTCTCTCCTCTCTTCCCTCCTTCATGTCTCCCTTCCTCCCTCCTTCCTTTCTTCCTTTGTCTCTCCCTTTCTCCCACCTTTCTTGCTTGTCACAGGAGGGAAAAGAAGATGGTGATATGAAAGGTGTGAAACACATAAGTTTTGCCTTGACTTACCAAACAACCAAGCCAGGATCATGATCAGGCCTTCCAGGTTTCATCTCCTTTCTACTAAAGTGGTTTGATTTGTGTATTAATCAAGATAGTATTAGCAGCTGTCACATAGAGTCCCTGAAATCTCAGTGGTTTCACTCACTTATTCCTTGCATATTTTTCATCACCTTTGTCAATGGACAGCATTCCATGAAGTCAGTCAGGGAACCAGGCTCCTTCTTTCTCATAGCTCTGCCCTCTTCTTGGACCTCAGACTCCTCTCTCTGTTGGCTGATGGAGAAAAAGAAGGTGGAGAAAGCATATGTGCTTCTTACTCATGCTGTACTGAAGGAAATGGATGTCACTTCTGCTCACATTCCATTGGTGAGAACAAGTCACATGACCCCCACCTAGCTGCAAGGAATGCTGGGATAAGTAGTGTTTGGATGGGCAGATAGTCCCCAGCAGTAATTCCATACTTGGCAAGGGAAGACCCAGTCTTTGGTTGTCAGCTAGTCATTTATGTCACAATTCACATCTTTCAGCAAGCATCCCCCTCTCTGCCCCATCTCCCATCCAACTGGAGCTCACTTCATTCTGCTTTATCTAGAGCCTTGCATGACCAGAATTTTTGCCAATTGAAACAGAAAACAAAAGTGCTGCATTCTCTAGCCAGACAAGCTCACCATGGGATCTCTGAGGTTCATAAATCACAATGCAAAGGCAGTTCATCATCTGAAAAATGAGGAGGAAGAGCTGGCAAAGCCCAGCTCATAAAACAGATGTTCTTTTGGTGGAGAAGAGCAAAAGAAGCAGGATTATGGAAATAAAAAACCCAGGAAACTGGCCATCCTACCTTAAAAAAGCACATCTTCCCTGAAGTAATTCACTTTCCCCCTCTTACTATATACCCTGCCCTCTAGGGGAAAAAAAGGGGGAAGTTATTTTCCCCAGTTTAATTCTCCATATTAAGCTGGGACAATAGCTGTTTTTCCTGTTTTTCCAAAAGTGTGGACATCAATTGTTTTTTCCTACTGCATGACAAATACAATGATACCTCACTAACCACTGCGGGTCTGTTATGTTTCAGGATACACGCTGCTCTGCCATCCTTATCGTGAAATCCCACTCAGGATAAATAAGATTCATTTCGGCTATAGCCATTTGTTCTTGTTAGGGAGCTGCCAGGATGGCATGAAATATTAAATGACAAGGGTTAATTCTGTTCTCAGCAAAGAGCTCCCATCTAATTTCCCATAAGACTGTACAATGGGTCATTGTGTCAGGCTTGAAATCATAGCCTGCAAAAGCCTTCCCTGGGAAGGTTCTGTACCCTGGCTGTATTGATGATTCTGACTTTTGTGATGGGAAAACAAAGCTGATTCTTCCTGCCACTGGGAGGAATGAGGATCTCGGTTGTTCCCAGGGTTTGCAGCAGTGACTTTGACAATCTTCCTCTAGTGACTGGTGCTTTGTTATTTTCTGTTGGTTCCCTTGTGACACATGGGGGTTTCTGGGGGTGGTGCTAGTGGTAAAGAACCTTCCTGCCAGTGCAGGAGATGCAAGAGACACGGGTTCTATCCCTGATTTGGGAAGATCCCCTGGAGAAGGGGATGGTAGCCCACTCCACTGTTTGTGCCTCAAGAATCCCATGGGTGAAGGAGCCTGGTTGGCTACGGTCCATAAGGTCACAAAGAGTTGGATACGACTGAAGGAACTACACATACACATCCTTTGGGTACTGGTCTCTCATGCTTACTTCTCCTGGTTTCTTATCCAGAGATTATTTGTGTTAAGTGTGAAGGTTGTTGCTTTAGATTACATTGATGCTTTATTAATATGTTAAATGATCATGCTTGAGCTATATTCACTTATTATTGTGCATTATGCAGTGCATTAGTAATGAATGAGAATGCTTTACTTAAAGATCTGTCTATAAATCAGTTGAACATGAGGGAAAAAAGAGTCATTGTTTATTTATGAAGCCTGGGAAAGAAATCACAAGAGTGTAAATCTTATGTATTCTCTTATTCTAAAAACATTATGAAACATTGATTATATGTTTGTCATTAAGTTTATGTGCCTGTTGCCTTTATGTTCCTGATATAATGTTAATCTTAAGGATTAAGCCTCTGAAATCTTCTGTAGACTTAAGAGTAGAAAGTTTCAGGGCTAGACAGTAAAGTTTTCTTGGACAGAAATTGGGTGTGTGTTCTCTTGCTGTGCAAATGGTACGTCATCTGAAGAATGAGCCTTCAGAGTGTGCAGTTCTTGTGGGAGTGTTTTACTACTGCCCAGGGTCCATTAACAATTTGCTTCCCAGTAAATGCAAATTAATAGACATTCATTGGGTTTCTAGCCTTCGAATTAAGGATGGGACCAAGGTACTGTTTGTTGTTGTTTAGTCACTAAGTCATGTCTGACTCTTGTGACCCCATGAACTAGAATCTGCAAGGCTTCTTCTGTCCATGGGATTTTCCAGGCAAGAATACTAGAATAGGTTGCCATTTCCTTCTCCAGGGGATCTTCCTGACCCAGGGATCAAACCTGTGTCTCCTGCCTTGGCAGGCGGATTCTTTACTACTGAGCCACCAGGGACAGCCAGGGTACTGTTAGAACATATAAAATAAAGACATTCTGGGAAATTCTTCCCTACAGTAGAAATGTTTCTCTTCATAAGACTTCTGGAGTGGAATATTCACATAAAACTTTAGCCAACAGGAAACAAGGCACCATTTCATTACTTGGCTAAGATTCTATTGAGAGCCATTGTTTCAAAATACATTGCTAGAGTGACCTGAAGAATGTGGCCTTACGTAAGAATCTATTAGGACCTCTATTAACTTCTAAACCCCCAGATTCTACTCTAGCAATTGGACAAATGCTGGGCAAGTCCTAGCCTGTGCATAAGGATGAAAGAAAAGGGCTCAATATGGCCTTATGGGCTGACCTGTACAATATGGCTGCTTGGATAGGCAAGGCAGAGAAAGAGTGATGCTGTCCACTGGACCCATGGCTCAATCATTGTCCTGGAGCCTGGAATATAATGAGATTAGTAGTTCCTTCCCTTGAGGATAAAGAAGAGATTGAATCAAGAGCTGTTCTTTTTAAAAAAATGTTTAAAAAAACATTTTAAAAATGTAATTTATTTATTTGGCTGCATCAGGTCTTAGCTGTGGCACGGGATCTTCATTGCCTTCTCTTAGATTTTTTGCTTTAGTGCACAGACTCTCTAACTGTGCATGGGCTTCAGTAGTAGTGATGCCTAGGGATAGTTGCCCTGCAGCATATGGGATCTCAGGTCCCTGATGAGGACTCGAACTTGTGTCCCCTGCATTGCAAGGCAGATTTTTAACCACTGGATGGTCAGGGAAGTCCCAAATCGAGAGCTGCTCCGAACCTTCTTTTCTTGCTATACCTCCTCTGCACTGGACTTTAGCCTAAGATGATGGACATAGAGAGAAGTAATACTAATCAGTTGCTATTTTAAAAATACTCAGAGGCTTGCAGTAGAGGTTATCCAGTAAACAAGTTAAACACTCTAGGAAATAGTAATAATAATAGTAGTCATAAAATGCCAACAACTTACTGAGTGCTTATGATGCATTGGGCACTGTGCCAAGAAGTATATAAGTTCACACGAGTTCTGGAGGTAGCATAGGAAAGGGAATGATCAACTTTGGCAAGACAGGATTTCTGGAGGAGGTGACATTTATGCTGCAATGTAAGAAGGAATAGGAAATCTCCAAATGCAAAAAAGATGGATAACATGCTGAACAAGTGAAAGGGTGTGTGTTTGTGTGTATGTGTGTTTGTGTGTAATGACATAGGCCTGGAGAGAACTATACCCATCTCAGGGTCTCTAAAATATTATCTAGAGGACAGAGGTAGTGTGAAATGAATTTGAAAACAGAGGAAGAGTGAAATTGTACTTTTAAAGCTAGGACAAGAAGCCTGGATGTTTTTTATTTTAGACGGTAGTCTTAGGGGATGTATGGACTTCCCAGGTGATACTAGTGGTAAAGAATCCACCTGCCAATGCAGGAAATGCAGGAGACATGGGTTTGATTCCCAGGTCAGGAAGATCCCCTGCAGTAGGAAATGACAACATGCTCCAGTATTCTTGCCTGGGAAATTCATGGACAGAGGAACCTGGTGGACTACAGTCCAAGGGGCCGCAAAGAGCCATTCATGACAGGGCATACACACAAAAGATGTATAAGTAGAGAAAAGATGTGCTCTAGGTCTTTGTAAAAGTCCTTCTGACTACAGTTGGGAAGATGGCTTGGAGGAAATGAGACATGAGAAGTGAGCCACCCAAGAGTCAAAAAGGGTGTAAACTAAAGAGATGTGATAACTTAGAGCAGAAAATGATCTGAAAAATCTGTGAGAAGTAGAACAGATGCCATGGTGGCTACTGGATGTGAGGACTGATGGGAAAGGAAAGCGTCCTGGATGACTTCATGGTTTATTCATTAGGTGGCAGCCTCAGTGCAAAGGGCTGGAGTCAAACGGACACTGCCCAGCTGGTGCCAGTCTCTACTAATTAGAGTTCTTGGTTGAAATCATAACCAATTCATTTAAAAATTATTTATTAATTTGACTGTACCAGATCTTGTCTGCAGCACTTGAGATTTTCCATCTTAGCTGTGGCATGTGGGATCTAGTTCCCTGACCAGGGACTGACTGGGCCGCTGCACTGTGTGCTTGAAATCTTAGCCACTGAACCTCTCTGGAAGTCTCTTAAACCAATTCTTTTTCTGAATTTCTTTAACTGTGACAAAATATGTGCTTGTGCTCCATCGCTTCAGTTGTGTCCGTCTCTGTGTGACCCTGTGGATTGTAGCCCGCCAGGCTCCTCTGTCCATGGGGATTCTCCAGGCAAGAATACTGGAGTGGGTGGTCATGCCTGTCTCCAGGGATTCTTCAGGGATTGAACTCCTGTCTCTTATGTCTCCTGCATTGGCAGGCAGGTTCTTTACCAGTAGTGCCACCTGGGAAGCCCATGGCAAAATGTACATAATACAAAATCTATTATAACACTTCTAAGTGTACTGTGGTATTAAATACATTCATACTGTTGTACAACCATCACCACCTTCCATCTCCAGAACTCTTTTCATCATATGAAACTGAAAATCTATACTTGCTGAATAAGAACTCTCCATCCTCCCCTTCCCCTAGCTTCTGGCTATCACAACACAAAAAGTATCTTGCCTGTATGATTTCAGTCACTCTAGGGACCTCATATAAATCAAACCTTACATTATGTGTCCTTTTGGAAGTGACTTGTTTCATTTAGCATGATGTCCTCAAGGTTCATCTATGTTGTAGCATGTGTCAGAGTTTCCTTCCTTTTAAAGGCTGAATAATATTCCACTGCTTGTGGATAGACCACACTTTGCTTATTCATTCATTGGTAGATGAGCACTTGGCTTGCTTCCACGTTTTAGCCA